CTACAACTTCAAACTTCTGTGTGAGAAAAGGGCCAAAAGAATGTTAAACAGTACTCCTTAAAAACTAGCTTTCCTTTCTGTTAGATATAAGCTAATTATTTTTTTGTTATATTCTAAACTAACAAGTGGGGTGAGGCTTTGTAAAGCTCCTCCTACCACATTTGTACAATGAAAGAATAATACCAACAAAGAAGTGTTTCTGCTGTTGAAAGAAGGGAGGGAAAAAAGCTGAAACCAACATGGAGGTAAAAGAAATTAAATATATCTTTTCCTCCCTCTTTGCCAGCTGTAGAGAGCTCAGTGATGGAAAGAGAGTGCCACATTCAGTTACTTCCTCCCACAACACAGCAAGCAGCAGGGTAACTGATTTTGTTGTCCAGTTCCAGGAACAGATGTGGTTTGAATTTCTGCACACATGGGCCCGAGTGCCTACGCAGACTGAGGGATACGTACCCTGCTCATTTCCACATGCTCACACTCGATTGAGAAGGACTACCTGTAACTTTTTCAATCACCCACAGCCTGTAAGCTGTTCAAGCATAGCTCCAGAGCCAGGCTTATGCTGTGTCACCAGCAGAAGGGCTGTGATAATGCATGATTAGTCCAAATCCCTGAGAAGAAGCGAGACAGCTGGGACTACTAAACCTGGCACCGCTGGTTTGTAGTGATCAAGTTGTGCACTGGAGTAGGGAGACACCTGGAAGCCATTTCCTGCTTGTGAACTGTTCTCCCTCCCCCTTCCTCCCAAAGATAAGTGCATGCCATGTGGCTTTTGGCCACAATGAGTTTTTTTTGAATTCGTAACATCAGGAAGGTTTGCTTTAAAGGCACAAATCCAGATCTTGCCTTGCATACAAAACTTCAAAAGGCTGTTTTTTCCCCATCTAATGCTCCCCCTCCTCTCCCCCCCAGTCTCTTCTGACTTCAAATTTCTCCAACTCTGAAATAGTCCTTGCAATTTCATCTTTAAACTGGCAAATTAACAGACTAGAGAGTGCTTAGGTACTGGCCTTAGTTTTCCCAGTTCCAAAGCCACTAATTGTTGTTTTCTCACCATACTTTGCTAACGTGCAACAGGTTAAGATCTCCACACATGCACACACCCCCACCCTTAAGTACTTGAAGTTTCCTTGGCTTTGAAAAGTAAGCACATATTTTGTCCATGAGAATGCCTTTGAGCAGTATCTCTTTTGTCAGTTTGCTTTCTCTTGTGCATTGTAAATCTTTCCAAGAGCCATCTCCTCACTTTTTTCCTTATTATTTATTTTATTTTGTCTCTGGAAATGTTTCATTCAACAGAATAGTCTCACTGTTTTAGCCATTGGGCAAGATGTTGTTTCCCCTGAAATCAACAGGAGCTACCAAATTCTAAGATGCCTGAAGTTTTCACTTCTCTTTAAAACCACTGAAGTCCAGAAACATGCAACACTTCACCAGCCTGAGGTGGCTCCAGCCTTCTCTCAATATTTTCTATGGAATTGTTGATCCTAGAAAAACTAATAGTAGAGGTGGAACACGCCTGTATTTTGACACAACTTTGCAAACAACCTCCAATTTTATTTTTTTTTTTTTGGTTAAAGGAAATTCTAGTTTTCATAACTGAAATCTAGAAGTTTTTGAAAACAAATTCAAAAAGAGAGACAAATTTTAATAGGCCAAATAAAAGGTTTTGTGAAATCTCTTATAAAATGTCACTCAAGTAGTCTTCAAGGTTTTGAGAAAATTACACCTAAATTTCAATATACAATTCATTAGTATTATGTAACCATACTGTTGCAGTAGTTGTAAGATTTTATTAACTGAATTTCATCTTTTAACCAGTAGTCTGTAGCTGCTAAATCTGAATGCAGACTTAGCCTTCAAGTCTTACTGGAGAAGTAGGACTTTATAGGAAAGTCACACTCTCCCTCTTAAGAACTAGAAATGGTAAGATAGAGTGATCAGATCCCAGCAGGGGCTGGCTCCCACCAAAGAAGCCAAACATGATTTTACAGCCAGCATGGTGGAGGCCTTGTCAACCAGAGCTCCATCCCACAGCAGCACAGCAAGAGAAGGGCAGGCAGCAGGGGTTGAGCACGGTCCAAAACCCAGGGAGCTTGCCCTGGCAAAGCAGGTGCAGCATCGCAGCAGGCAGCCCAGGGGAGGGTCAGCCCAGGAATCAGCAGGACCCTACACCTGAAAGGCAGCTGGGAAATCAGCTCAGCTCATCATCTGATCAGCAGGGTCCATGGCCAAGCACAGCCTCACCTAAGATGTAGCTCAGGCAGAGAGAGGCTGAACATCCATGGCTGAGCTTCAGTGAGCCCATCCATGGGCAGGGCTGTGGGTAGAGGTCCCAGGGGAGGCTGGTCAGGGCTGTTAAACCCTATTGGTTCACTCAGGCCTCCTGATATAAGTCAGTGGAACATTCAGACTCATATTTTCATGCATAAGCAAGAGAAGAGGAGAATTATGATTGTGGTTTGACCTGTGCTGCGTTTTCTGACCCCTGAGTGCCTGATTGCTCAACCATGGTATTACAGTAATGCTGTGTCTACTCATAGTTTATATAAACACAGAATATGTTAAACAACTGACTTATGATGTGATACTTTTGTTTCCACTGAGTTCTAGGCCATCTGTGTACTAAAAAATCTCTCGACTTGGAAAGAAGATCCGATCTATTCCATTTTTTCACTAAGTAGTTACAGATACTACCAGAGTATTCTGTATGTATACTTTGGCATTTATATTTTATTCCTTTTCTCATTGCAATTAAGCCTCTCTTGGATCACCAGGCTTGGTTGATACTTCTGTACTTCCTAAATATCTTCTTTACTCATCTTAAGTATTTAAGGTTCTTTATTCACATGCTGTTCAAATTATGAAAATTAATGCAGTCTTGAAGAATTAGAGTTGCTGTAGCAGAGTTTCAGGTCACCTGATTTCTGAGAAACAGTTTCATCCATGTCTATTGACAAGCAATGTTTTCTTTTTCGTCTTTCCTAGCTGAGGTAATACACAGTCTTATCTCATGTTCTAGGACACAAAGCAGGATGTCAGCAGCATTGCAAGATACAATTCCAACAGGCAGTCTGTACTTCTTGGAATAACTCCTGATCAGTATTTTAAGTGTCCAGTTGGCAAACTGTGTACCCCACTCCATAATTAAAAAATGCATGATTCTCCTGTTGGCAGAGAAATCCAAAGCATACCAATGTCTACCAGCTTCTCACTTGGTAGTGACAAATCTGGCAGGCAGGATCCTTTCAGTGCCTCACACAAAGGGTTTGAGCCCAGCAGACTGTTCAGCAGTTACTGCAGTGCTGTCATTGCCTTCCCTGGTGCTGTCTGACCAGGGCTAGAAGCAAATGAGTAACACCAGGCTTTGTTCCAGGTGACAGGAGGGAATTGGAAGTTAAGGGCTGGGGCAGCCCAAAAGCCCATCCAGCTCAGTACCCTGTTGTGAAGAGTGCTTCAAGGTGGGTGCCTTGCAAGAGGGAAACACTTTTCAGCTTTTCCTTACAAATACTATTTCCTTCACACCTCTTCTTTAGAGAGCCACAGTGGGCAAGACAACTGCATAAAAGCTAGTAATTAATGTTTTATGCAAGATAAAAGGGATCCAGATCTTTCTGATAAAAACAGTGTGGCTTCAGTGCCAGTTATCTCTGCTGAGGATATTACCTAAAAATTTTACACAGTCTAAATGAAGACATTACTCAGTAGCCATATCAGACTTCATAATCTGTCTATATTTTATGTCTTCTAGCAGATCATAGCACTGCTCTGTTTCTAGTCTGACACTTTGTTTTGATTTTAATAAACCTAATACGAATTAAAATAGCAGGTGCATAGTAACACCTCTTTAGAATGAGTGTTTGATGCTAATAACCATGTTAAGCAAGACTTTGCTGAGCCATGGCTTTCATCTCAGTCTGTACAAAATATATATGATGAAAAACCACTTAACCCCTTAGCTTCTGGCTCAAGGACTGTGAAAACCACATACCAAAGCTATAGACAAATTCTAAATGCAGGAAGTTATGGGAGGTCATTCAGAAAATAAGAATGATTCAATATGATCAGCTGACTAATGTCACTGTACTCTGTATTTTTGGTATAATGCTGCCCACACTGGAAGAGCTGGAGGTGGTCTGAGAAAAGACTAATGCATGTAAAAGGATCCAAACACTACAGAGAAGGACTCTTGCCCAGTGTAATAATAAAACAAGAATCTGGGCACAGATAGAAGCAAACTGTAGTTACATCTAAGGGAAAATCGAGGGCTCACTAAGTGAAAGGGTTAAGGGAGGGATTATAAGAATGAACTCCAGGCAGCCAGTGGATTCAATTCCTGGAGATCGTTGGGAGAAGGAAAAAGCTGCATATCTTTGTCTCTTGTAATTGCTTTGTTCATTACCCTCCTAAATCCCCAAAACAAACAACAAACAATCCAAGCCTTCCCTTCACACAGATACAGATATTACAAAGGTTCCACTTGTATAAACCACTCTTGTCTATTTCTGTGCTTTTTAAACTTTTTATCCTCTTACCAGGTTGAAGGTCAACAGAACTCACAAAGAAAATATTGTAATTTGTTTTGCTAGCAAACTAGTACTTTACTGGAGAGACATGCTGCATCAGAGTGTTAGTGCAGACTTCATATTTAACCTGAGTCCAGTTTAGAATTCTGAAAAGACAGCTTGGTTGGACCCAATGATCTCAAAGGCCTTTTCTAAGTAAATGATTCTATATTCTGTGTTTCTACTACAACAGCCTCAGTGTATCATTTAATTTCTCTTCCAGCTTCTGGGGCAAACCCTATGCACTCCATTATCTTAAACAACACATTATATGAATTCCCTGCATTACTGAAGTTCCCAATTTCTCCATGACTTTAGTATATTTAATGTCTCTTGTCACAGCACATGTCACAGTTGAGATGACCATGATACACAGAGCATCCCATGCAATTTCAGCAGGCTTCAAGCACTCACCCATACACAGTGACACCTCACCTCATCAGACGGCTTCAAGCCTCTGCCCATACAGAGGAACATCGCTGCAGAAGGCTGCAGATCCCTGCTCTTTGTTGTTCTTTAGCCCAGCCTTTTATCCCCTCCTGTTGATGCACTGCACCTGAGTGCCCTCTGTGCCCTCTGGTGTTGGTCAGTGCCCCTGGGCACTCCCTGGCTCATTGCTGGCAGTGCTGCTCCCCTGCTGCTCACAGCTGTGCCCACTGGGGATGAGCCGCAGCCCCACTCCCAGTCACCACAAACTGTGCACCTACAGTCTCACTGAATCATCAGACCTGCACCTTCTGATAGGAAGCACCAGCAAAATGGCAGATATTAAGGAGAAACCCAAAACACATGGCAGAATAAGAAGGATTTCTAAAAGCTGCTTATTAAGTTCTGGGGTTCTTTGAAAAATTGTTGGGTCTTGGGTATGACTTTGTGTTAGAGGCATAATTGCATTAACTCTCAACAAGGAAACAGAATTTCCTTTTTCTTGATTTAGTCTCAGTTTGGATGAAACTGTTAGTAGGCTGAGTTCTGCAGAAGCATCTGTGATGCCAGTGAATCCAGACACAATGAATGCATATTTTACATAAGTAAACCTGACTATTTGAAGTCAGTGAGCCTAAACTGTGTGGCATAATTAGAGGAATGAGCCTCAGGTTGCTTTGTCAAAACATTCTTTAATTGCTGGATTATAGGATTATTGGATTAGAAGATTAGATGGAATGCCTGGAAATCTTAAATTGGAGCATCCACTAAAGTAAGACTTCTCATGAATCTGAGTTATAATGTATCTATAAACCACACAGTTTGTATAGGTTCTTTTAGCAATTGTTCAAAATACTTTCATGGTAGGACAATATGGACGTATTAACTGTGTTTTCTCTGACCCTTCTTTTTAAACACACTTTTAATATTAAGGAACTTTTCTTCACGACAATCAGCTGCCAGCTTCCATGTAGCCAGGGTGCTAGAGCTGCTCTGAGCTCAGTCTGTGAATCATGCCCTTCCTTGTCCATAGGATCTAAAATACCAACCAGACACTGCATGGCATCCACCTTGCAGTGTGTGCATATTATTTAATTACATCATGATCACTAAGCACAGCTATGTATTTTTATGGCATTCTTACAGGACTTACTCTGTTGTCACTCAATCTGTGTTGTACAAACAAGAGTCACAACATGGTGCACTACAGGTGCTCTTCTTCTCAGAGCAATATCAAGTGTGGAGTCTTCAAACATGGCACACAGAAAGTTATTCCATTCCAGCTTATCTCATTTCCTGGGAACACTTTGTACTTTACTCCTTCAAGTTTCTGTCATCAAGATTTCTCCAACTGCTGGTGCTCCCCCTGCTTGGTTCCACATGTCACATTCTGCACATACCAGCTATGAAAACCACAAGTATATGTGTGTACAAGTAGAAAAATAGTGGCTCAGGGAGAAATAGATGACCAGAGAGAAAGGGAAACTTCAGGCCATGGTTCAAATCCCCCTTAAGGAAAATGCTATGAAATTGGTCATGTCAGTATTGAACAGAACTGTCTGGTAAATTCTGCTGGAGGTTTTGAATCTATAGGTTCAGAGTGGATGTTCCAAATGGGACAATTGATGTAACAGTACTATGTCCTTCTTTTCTGAGATGGTTTTGTAAATGTTAGGAAGCTTTCAATTAGGATAGTAAAGAATTTTGAAAGTTAATAGTAGTACTTTGTCATATAATTCTGTGAAGCAAACAGAAGAGGACTTCTGTTCGCAAGCAATATGGAGACAGCTGTGTTAGCTGTATTCTCAAGCCATTAAACAGAGTAGTCATCAGCACTTCAAAGCACCATATACCCATATCCCTTCATATTTACACTGCTAAAATCACAGCAGCCAAAGCACTGAAGTGTCCCAGTATGATGGAGATCAAGACTGCCTGAACAGAAGGATCAAGGTGTAAATCATATTCATATTTTCTGGGGTCAAACCCCAAAACACTTTGGCACAATTTTGACATCTTTTATGATCAATTGTAATTTTTGTCACTGATTTCCACCAAGCCCCAACTGTGCTTTTTGAGTCTGATATTCTTGTCAGGATTTAATATAAGCAGAATTATATGTAGTCATGGCTTTTATATTTTCAAATTTAAACTGTAGGAATAAAAATAGTAATAGTTTGTCACTTCCTTCTTCCTTCTTTTCTTTCTCTTATAGAGCTTTAATAGAGCTCTATGAAAGAGAAGTGCTTTCACTCTTCCAAAAATTTCTTTATGAGGTAGCACAGAGCTCTCCAACTTCCTTTAAAATAATGATCTTTGATTTTGTTTAACCCAGGGACTGATGAAAATGCTTATATTATCAGATGGCATAAAATAACAAAATAAATGGCTCAACAGATATTCAGTGGGGTACCTTTTTTCTGTATTGTGGCTGGCAGCTCAGCACCATTGAATGGAAAAGCAGAAGCCCAGTGCATGGCCAGACTGGAAGGGGAGCCTGGCTAAATCTTGTCCAAGGTGAGAAGCAGAGGAGTCCTGGTCACAGGCAAGGAGGGGAGCTCAGTGTAGGGCAGGCCTCTGGCAGCATGGCCTCAGCCTGCTGGCAGGGATTGCACTCTTCAGTCCTAAAGGTTTTTATATTATCAGAAATTTTACAAAAAGAGAGAAAAGTGTAGAAAATTCTATAGTCAGTGTGTGAATCCTGCCATTTGGATTACAGAAATACTTTTGTAATCAAAAATATCCTTACCAGAAACAGTTTCAGGTTTCTTTGGTATTTAGAAATCCTTTGCTAAACAAAGTAAAAATGAATGATAAACAAAATCGAGTTTCCTTTGAGCCTGATGTTCTTGCAGCTGCACTCCACTTTTAAGAGTAACCTATTAGCAATTAATTTAGAATGACACTGGCAAGCAGTCCCCAGACTTTAATTAATATCTCTTTGACAAGCTCATAATCTTTCTAGTTAATAAAGTCTCCCTTAAATTAGTTTAACTCTTATTTCACTTACCGCTGTAAGGAATCGGCATCAAATCTAGGGTACTTACCAGTACTTTCTCATTTCAAATGTCTTCAGAAGGAGAAGTTAGTGTTAGATTTTACAGAGAGTATTTGATGAAGGTCACCCTCAATCCAGTGGCAGTGCTGGAAGGAAAATCTAGGTTCCTGCATGCCCTTCTGTTGTGCAATTGATTAAGCAATGGCGCTGTCTCCTGTCTCAGTATCTTGCAAGGAAAGGATTAAATTCTGATTCCAAGTTGCACAATTGATTCTTTTCCTTTATGCCAATATCAAGATCTTAGAAAGCTACAGTATAGTACTGTAAATATAATATAGTGGGTCATTGTAAAAGTTACTTAAATAAAAAGTATTAGTATTGGACAACATAAGGAACAACTGCTTATTTAATTTTAAGCTCTTAATATCCTTCTGAAAACTTATCCTTTAAAATTGTGTCAGTTTTACCCATATGTCTGAAATGCAGAACCAATCTACAGAGAACCTTATACAGCCACGTTACCATGTCCTGTGGAATAGGAGATAATACTGTGAACTGGAAACGATGCTGAGATAAAATCTCCTTTCACCTCTTGGTTAGTCAACAACTTCTATAGAAGTGTAATGAAATGTGCCATATACATGCCTGTTGCATATGTGTATTATGAGAAAAAAAAAAGCTATAATGAGGTAATTTTTGATACATAAGATCACATCAACCTACCTTTCTTTCTACTTTGCCTGCAAAATAAACTGAGAAATGCACAAATTACTGTCAGGCTTTGAGTCTGATAGGGTTTTTTCAGAATGGAAAAAATTCTAACTTCCAGATTGTAAAGTTCTAAACTGATTAAATCTACAAAGAAAGGAGATCTTCTCATTCTAAAGGTAATCAGTGGTTTGTATCTAACTAACAACTGTAAGAAAGATCTGTGTAAGCATTAATGACTGCTGTAATGTACTGCCAGGGAGACTGAAGTAGGACCCATTTTGCAGGTAATTTTTGCCAGGTGAGGATATTACAGCCTTAATACTTAATTTAAAAATCTTTCTTATTATCAAGGACAACAATAATTAAGATGGCTGAGAAAGGTCAGTTATATATGAAACTTAATTGGGATCCCATGGCCAGGAGACATCTCACCATCTCTAGAAGTCATGAGCAGTCTATGCACTCCAGAAGTATTTCTCTGGAATACATAAAACTGAAAATAGCACGTCCCAAACGCTCTTCAGAACAGTTCCAGTAGCAATAGGCACGAGCCTGTACCACTGCCTTAGAATACTGACTTTGTACAAAGAACTTATTTTATGTTGCTTCTTTGTTTTTTCCTCTTTTAAGTCAACAGGGGGAAAAAGATGAAATAGATGTTAGCTAGTGAGAAAAGCACAAAAATATTTTCAGACAGCAGCATATTCTTCAGCTGAATTTCTACAATTTTTCCTTAAGCACTTGCTGCCTCTGTCAGTATTGCTGAACCAGAGGCCTTATTGCTATTCCTGTGTTTCTGTGGCAGTGATAATTCCATCCCAGAAGTCACAAATCAGAAAAGAGTTTCTTCCAATGAAACAGCAAATGAAACACAACAAGATCATCCTCCTTTCTCATGCGTGTAACTGTAAAAAGTTCCTGTGGTCGGAATGTGGCTCTGATTACATTTCTCTATCCCAAAATAAACATGGTGCAAAAGAAAAGGATATAGGGAGGGGGGGAAAGCCTGTCACTGGGCCACCCTCAGGAAACCTCACAAGATCTACTGTCTGTCTGTGCAAGCCATGGAAGAGCCAAGGAAGTGATCCCAGCTTGGTGGTCTTATTTTTAATTAAAACAAATGAGGCTCTTTCAGCTGTTGCAGATAAATATTTGATGAAAAGAGACAGGAACAGATGTCGAAAAACTGTAGTAAATAAAGAATAAGACCAGAAGAGCAAATGTTACAACAGTATTTTATATTTTAAAAAATATCATTTTACAGATTTCTGTCGAATATCTATTTTTACTAAGATCATTCCATAAGTGGGATGACAATTTTTTTTTACAAAGTAGAATTGAAATACAAATGCATATAGATAGTGAAAATTTTTTAAGTCAACTTTTTGCACATTAGAGGGTTAAAGTAAGCTTTAGTTCTTGGGCCACTGATGAGACAGAAGACTTCAAAGTAATTTGT